GTGGCACAATACTAGATGAGATGATGGAGACTTTGATGCTAAAAAAGAAGAAGAAATGGTGTCAATAGGATATCATATGGCACATATGATTCATATATATGGTTAATAACTATGATAAATATCTACAACTCATGCACAGCACTCTACATTCACAATTACTAATATGATCCCATGGATCCCCTCCATTGACTTGACTCATCCAATTCACACACATCATCACTTGATTTTCACTTTGATCGATTTTTGACTTCATAGTTCATGATCAATTCTCAATAAAAGGATCAACTCACTTTTCTTCTAGCACTCAATTTACATCCTCACTAGTATTACTAGTAGATAGTCACTTCCACAGGTTAGGAAACCCTTTCTTCAATAAAAATCACCATCACTCCCACAACAAGAAGAAATCACCAAGCAAGCAAGCAAGAACTTCTCTACTASTAGTAGTAGTAATGATGATGCTGCGACACCATAGTAGTAGTAGTACTAGTAGTGCTACTACTAGTACCACCACAACCACCAGTAGTACTACTACTGGTACTCTGATGATCAAAGAGATGAGCAGGACCAACAGGAACAGTGGGGTTGCTGAAAAGACCAGTGTGGCACTTGAAGCTAGTGAATTACCTTATCCATCATTCAGTGGTGACCAAGAAGAAGACGAAAACAAAAACATAAGTGAACATATGGGTGGTACGTATCTTAGATATGTACCTGAGATAAAGTGCGTACCGTACAGTATGTACCGGTAGGAAATATGAATCTTCGAAAGGAGACAGACACAAACTGCGCAGAAACAGAACAAGAGCGAATGCCGCAAGTATCTTTGCTCAGCTCTCTCTCTCGTGGTGAGAATTTTACAAATTGCGGAATTGCGCGCTCGTAGAGAACTCCACGCCGCTGTAGATTGTCGAGCTCATCGCGCTGATCTAGCGCAGATATTTCGCAGGATGATGACTTTTTTATTCATTCCATTGAAACTTTTTCTACCGTAGGTAGTACTTTACCCTACGTACAGCGATGTAAGGTTCAAACGCTCGTCCGGTACATAGAGAACTTGTATCATGGAAATGCGGTCACGTGTTCCCCCGCAACGGTTCAAAAAGATTACACGACATTAAATTATGCATGCCGGAAAGACACCAGTGGAGTAGTTAAAGAAACAAGAGTTGGATCCAGGCCWCCCTCTCTCATTGTCACATTAAATTTACACCAAACCAAAGCTCTTGCATCTAGAGGGGAAACAGGTATTTAAAGTTCCATCTTCTTCTATTCTTATCCTTGGGTCGTCTATCCTATCATATCTTGCGAATCATCAGTTCGTGGATCCTCCACGTAAAGGTCTACGTCTTTTTGAGTACTCCATAAAAATCGCTAAGGTCTCTCGAAGAGTGTCACAACTCGTACCGCATAGATATCGAAAATTACATCCCGTTGGAGAAAACGAACGACAACAACAACGCTCTTCCATCGAGAATACCATATGGCATTGATATCTGCGGTACCGACTTCTAGCAGCAACGCTTCATCGCCTCTAAAAGCAGCAGCAGGTACAGCTGAATCTGTACTGCCCAAACCACCGCCGGCATCGAAAACGACGTCGTGCGCTTCCTCCCTCCCCAAAAACCCTGCTCCGATCAGCAACGGCACGGCGAGCACCAAAATGTCGAGTCGTCCAACGCAGCATCGAACAAGCATGGTCTCAGAGAGCTCCGCTTCCACCGCTACAGCCGGAGCGGCGGCGGCAACCGCTGCCCACGAATCCGCTGCGCCGGGACCCGCCGCCCCGACCAACCCCAGTGCGGTGTCCCCTGGCAGGTCATCCTCGCAAGGGAGCGGGGCGGAGAATATTAGCTACTCGGCGGAACGAATCATTGGAAATGGAAGTTTTGGTGTTGTTTTTGAGGCAAAGGTCGTAGAGACGAACGAGGTAGTTGCGATCAAAAAGGTATTGCAGGACAAGCGATTCAAAAACCGCGAACTCCAAATCATGAGACAGCTGGTAAAGGATCCACACACAAACATCGTTGCGTTGAAGCATTGCTTCTATTCGCAGGTACGTCTATGAACTGCATGACATTGACACTGGTTAGAACACCGCCCGGAACGATTCAATCCTCGGCACGACCCGTTTACAGCCATCGCTGTACGACTTGTTGGTGGAGACGAACAAGTGAAATTCTTTCCGGTTGCACCATGTATGATTTCAAATTCGTGCCAGCTACCAACGCTCCGATRAYGATGAGCTATGTTGAGTGGCAGTTTCAATTTGCATGGCTGATCTGAGGAGAGAAGATTTCTCTRGATTGGCCCTTGTTGCAATTCGATCGTGGTGAACCCCTACGGGTGCGAGGAATACCATTGTCGAATCGTTGTATTGCCTTCCGTTTTCAATACCCTCATTCAAAACCTTTCGTTTGACTTTCTTCGTAATGGAATCAAACTTTATCAGGGCGAGAAACAAGACGAACTCTATCTCAATTTAGTGTTGGAATATGTTCCAGAGACTGTGTATTCGATTAGCAGACGGCACCACAAGCACAACATTCCACTGCCACTCATGTTTGTGAAATTGTACTTGTATCAACTGTCGCGGGCGCTGGCGCACATCCACGCTCTCGGAATTTGCCACCGTGATATCAAACCCCAAAACCTTCTCGTCAATCCCAAAAACCAACAACTTAAATTGTGCGATTTCGGATCGGCAAAGGCATTGGTTCGCGGAGAACCCAATGTTAGCTACATCTGCAGTAGGTACTATCGAGCGCCGGAACTTATCTTTGGTAGCACCGATTACACGACGGCGATTGATATTTGGTCGGAGGGTTGTGTCGGAGCCGAATTGCTGCTGGGCCAACCTCTCTTTCCAGGTGATTCGGGAGTGGATCAACTCGTAGAAATCATTAAAGTATTGGGGACACCCACCAAGGAGGAAATACGCAGCATGAACTCGAATTACATCGAATTCAAGTTCCCCCAAATTAAGGGTTGCCAATGGAAAAAGATTTTTCGCAACAAAACTCCCGACGAGGCAATGGACTTTATCGCGAAGACTTTGGCCTACACACCTAGCAAACGATTGAACCCTCTCGAAGGATGCGCCCATCCATTCTTTGATGAATTAAGGACATCCGGGGTAGAACTGCCTGACAATGGTGGATCGCTTCCTCCCTTGTTCGATTGGACTCCACACGAATTGGCCGCGCCACAGGAGTGGTTAGACAAGGTAAGTTTTTTGTTGTGCAAGAAATGTGTTCCAATCCGAGTTGTTGAAGATGGTGCATTGAGAAAATAAGCATCGAACTACTGCAATTGTGTCTGTCCGAATTCAACCTTCGTCATTGGACTCCGAAAATCATAAGCTCACACCAGCCTTTTTCAACACCATCGTTGCAACGCTCTTTCGTAAAGTTAATACCACCCTGGACCGACAACAGCGACGAGAAACAACCTGCTAGATGATCAAAAAGGTCTCTTATAAAAGATTTTAAACAATATCATTAGTATGTTGTTTGTAAACGCCATGTTTGCTGTTGCTAATTCTGGTGCCCGTGCCATAGAACAAGTTCGTAGATTGTACATCTGTCGGCTGGAAAAGGATGCCATCTTCGACACAAATCGTGAAAGATAAAACCAAGATTATTTACAGATTAACATTTGCCTCGCCATTTGATCAGAATTGGAGGAGCAAACCGGAACAAGGCGTACAAAGTCTTACCCACAAAACAAATGTCCAGAAGAGGAAAGGGTTGATGGGGAAACAACTTTTAAAAGAAATTACTTGAGCAWGAGAATATTGCTTGGTCACAAACTGCACTGTGGACAATATGGATGAACAGCAACACACTTTAAATGCAAGAATAAAAATTGAGTCATTATTCCTATTGACACATTCAAGCAATTTATCTGATACTTTGTGCTGCTATTACGTGTTGATTCAAAGAGGTTTGGATTTATGTCTTCATCTGGCCACTAGCATGAAGGATGTGATCTAATTTTAGTTTCTAATCACAGTGAATAATGAGTCATACATCATTGAAAATCAAGCATCAAGAAAATGCTTGGATCAATTGATCATATTATTATTGATAGTACTATTGTGTGCACACGAGTATGTTTTTGAACTTATACAACAAAATAATGCAACTGGCACTAGTGCAAGCAGAACTTTTCCTTCTCCTCTTGGGAGTATCAAAAGTCTAGAAGGTATGTCTGTCATCATAAGATGGTACTACTTGTGGATGATATTTGCTGTTTTGGCAAGACTAGTAAGTTCTGGCTTGGCTGGCAACTTGAAATGAATGATTCCTGTGAAAGCCACCTGCTGGTAGTACCAGTAGTAGCCAACATTACTACTACTASTAGTAGGAATCAATTGGTCACCCATTGAAATATTATCTGCTGTGTGGAGTTTGGTCTAAGAAAGCAAAACAATATTTGCACATGAAAAAAAATATTGATCCAGTGACAACAGGTTTCGGTACAGTACTTGAGTGCTGATGTTTGTAAGAAAAATCCAGCTTAAAAAATTACAGGAATTTAATCATGTTTATGGAGCCCCATTTGGTTTTTTGTGCAAAGATTACAAAGAGAATACTTTTGTTTCTATTAGTAGGACTTTTACCTGGTGGGATATGGCTTTACAAGAAACAACTGCTTTTTTGTTCTTTTTCTATGCAAGGTGGTCAAGGTATTCCCCAACAGCAACAATAACACTGTTAGCAGCCATCATGGTGATGTCAGCACTAGTAAAGGCTAGGATTGATTGTCAAAGTCGCCATAATATGAAGGAAAACAGAGCAGGCATCCCATAACAAATGTTGTGACACCAGGAAAAATAATTAGTTGTTCATATCTTCTGGATGGTAACCCATAGTAGTATTGCAAAGAACAAAAGTTGTTTTGAACATCTTTACAATAGTTCTGTGATGGAATAGCCAATATCAAATCTTCTGTCCTCTTTGATAATTTCTGAAAGAAATGGGATACCACCATCAATGAATGTGCCTTTGCTAGAAACCATGATAGTATTACTACTACCACTACTAGCTATCAAGTRATTTGCCAAAAATTAAAATRMAATGAATAAAATAGCAGTTTCTGACAAGGAGGACAACAGTTTTAAAATGAATGATGATGACCATTCTTGTGTGACCAATGTTGAAGACAAAAATGCACTTGGAACAGACATCAACCCATTCCCACTGGTGTGATGATAGACTACCAATTCCAACTCCTCATAGGCTGTATCTGGCACAATGAACATTAGGAAGAGAAATAAGAAACAGTTCCAGAACTATACTACATCTCATGAACACATTTTGCCTAGTTGTTGTTGCAAAAATTTCCCCAAAGAAGGGTTTCACCATATGTAACAAGACAACTTTGACAGCACAACAATCATAATGAAGAGGAGGAAAAGGAAGAGGAAGGGGCCAGAAGGCAAGAAAAGAGCCTTGAGTTTTATTGTAGTGACTTGAACACCAATATTCTTGTCCACTTCATCAACAGAAGCAACACGAGCACAAATCTGCATTGGAAAGACAGAGGGTGGGTATCAACCTGGTGATAACAAAAAAATCCACATGATGAGGTTCTTCGAATTCCTTTCTGCTGGATGKGACTCCTCTTGATGGAGTGCGGAGAACAAAAACAAAAGTGAATGCACCAGCCAAGAGGACACAATTACTAAGCATTGAGCTACTGATCAAACAAACGATGAAGCATCATCATCTATCATAAAGCATAAGCAATTTGTGATTTGGGCATAGAATTAATATGTTTCAAGGACCAGAATTGAGTCTCCCAAGCAAGCCCAAAGGGGTTATATATTCTTTACCAACATTGAAAAAGAGAATGCCATGATGTGAATGAAGGGGAGGGGGGAATGAGAAGGAATAATCTTACTGTACTAACTCCTATCATCCAGCAATATTTATTTTTTTGTGCTGGCCACATAATCCTTTAAACCATTCTCCCCTGAAAATCTCTGGTGATCCATAGAGCACAAGCAGTATGACTGGCTTCAAAGCCTATGAAGCAAAGCTAGTGACTACTTCTTGTGCAGCCACATTTCATTCAGAACTGAAACTGGCCACCACGCCTGCTGCAACACCCCAGCCATACTAAGAAAACAATTGGGGACATTTTGAACTTTACTAGCTGTACTCCTTAAGAGATAGAGTAGATCAACTGGATAAGAAGGACCAATCAATAATAAAGAAACTGTGTGTCTTTACAATCAGATACTGTATTCAGAGAAGCGGGTAAGATATCTTYGTGTTACTACTGCTGGCAGGGGGCATGATGTCTTTGCATGAAAAGGTTTGGATACAACTGACTGATTCTTCTATATGTAACCCATGGCAAGCTATAGACAGACAAAAGGACATCAAGAATGCAACAATTTTCATAGAAAGGGAAAAAATGAAAAATGTTTTCTACTACTACTTGCAGTTTTGCATTTATTTTTTTGAGGTTGCAGTTGTGAGTGATAGGAAAACCAGAGATAGAGGAATAATAGCAGTACCACTAGTGCTACTAATTATCTTGTCTCAAAGTGGGTACATCATTCCTCACAATAGTACCAATAGTACAAAGTGTAGTAGTGTGGTATTGTGGTAGTCTGGTTAGATGGAGAGTGTCCCAGCAAGCAACAAGTAGATCTTTGTTGAGAAGTGAGGAACATTTTGTTGTTGTGACACCTCCTGATTAAAATTCAACCAGTCACTTCTTCTTGATTGGATTTTGCATTGTGGTGGTTCTATTKTACTGGATTATCATCCATCTTCCTCCTCTTTTCCTAGTATTGTATAAATGTGGCTCAGAAATGTATGATATAGTCGTAGATTTTGGGCTATCTTTTTCCTTGTAATGACTACTTTGACTGAAAAAAACTAAATTCATACAAATGCTGCACGTGCTCAGTACTTGAATTTTTGAATCCCTCCAGTCATGCAACCAAACAGTTTTGCTTACACGTGCACTCTGTAGCTGTAGTACAAGTCAATTTTTAATCCCGGCCACAAGTTATTACTACATGGTAAAAAGATAGCCCAAAATCAACGCACAGTAGAAAAATATGTAGAATGTTAACTAAGGGTCAACTCACTTGAACAGCTATAACTTGGTCCCTAACGGGCACTTTACAATGATAAGCACATGAATCAAATCCCAGTAAAAAGACAAATTCAGTGATATGGGGGGTAAGGGGGGGTTAATGAATATATAATTGTATATTGAGTAAGAAAATTGTACAATTATATTGGCTATTTTTGAATTGTCATGGTTATACAATATTAGTGCTAAGAATGTCTGTTGCACTCACTGTTGCTACAGCACTGCCCATTTACTGCTGCATGGGGTGCAGGTTGATGTCAGACAACTGGGTCCATTGCAGCTTTTCAAGACAAGGCAATTGCTTCTTGGTTCAGCTTCAGATTGAACTTACCTTATTTGCAATCTGTTGTTATTGATATCATTGATTTCATGTGCTGTTGAAAACAGCTTGGAGAACATAGCAGGGTTTTATTGCAAGAACTTTGTTCCATGAATGTKGGGGCCTCCTCTGCCTCCAGCCAGCAGTGCCACCACCAAGTGCTTCAGGATCAGTTAACTCATCAAAGGGTACCTGCTGCMCACAATCTCATGAAAAATCACAACTACTCTTTCAATGGAGCTATTACTAATAGTGGCATTGTCAATAACATGATTCCCTCCTTGACAGAAGCACAGTAGCTGGAGATAAGAGGCAACAATGCCTTGCTTTATATCAGCTGGGAGGCTCAAAACAAGGCAACAGTCAAGCCTTTCAGAGGATTGCAGCAACTTGATCACCAAAGACATTACCAATTGCTKGAACTACTGAAGAATAGATCCAATTGATAGTCACTCCAGTTCCCTCAAGTGGCTTGTAGTAGTAGCAGATACCTCCAAGCAGACCTTCAATGCAATATTAATATCAGGCTAAGCAAGCTGTGTTTCAGTGTATCAACCCTGTTGCCAACAGAACTTCAATCTCACTCTGTAATCAACATCATCCCTTGACCCACCACATTGTCTTGCATCTGTAGTAGTAGTAAACTTTCTAATTGAAGAATGAGTACCAAGTTTCCCTTCCACATCTGGTCTTTCAGCTACAAACACTTCACTGTTGAATGTATGATGCTTCATGAAATTAGAATAGATCTGCCTTGGACAGATGGGTTCCTCACTAATATTCTTTTACTACTTCATCTTCTTTGCTGTGAGGAAGAGTGCTGTGAGGAAGAGGGGGGACAAACTCAGTAGATCTTTCCAAGCTGCTCCTCTTTCCTACATGAGTACTATCATCATTTTGGAACTCAGTAGATCTCTTCAAGCTGCTCTTTCCTGCATGAACAGTATCATCATTTTGACCAATAAGATGGAAATGAATATTGATCGTTGCTAAGAAATATCTCAACTGATCTATTTGTGTTCCATCATTGCACAAACCAGATTGAGCGTAGTTTGCATTTTGTGCAGTCGGAACCCTCAACTTTTTTACTCCTAGTACCATTAGATTTTTATTGAAGAATTAATATATCAAACTTCTAGTATTTTTATTCTGTTTTCTGATAACATGTTTTCTTTATTTGGCACTCACTCAACCTCAGTCCCACCTAAACCAGTGATGCATGCCTGGAAATTAGTAMTTTCTGAAGTTATAACATTTTGCTTTCACTCATCATCACATCTCTAAAAATTTCTGCACCCAAATAACTCTTCTCCCGTGTGCRTTGATAGCCAACATGAATGGCTCTGCCTAAGCTCAAGGTTTTCTGTCAGAACTGTCCCAGGTCCCGGGATTGTAGGACCCGGTGTCTAATATTSTAAAGCACCAAATGAAACAAAAAACAGGAGCCATCACATCTGCCAAGGTTCTGACTCATCTCACCAAGAGTTGTATTTGCTTTGACTATTATACTCTTTGTGGGGACAGAGCTGATGCTTTTAGCTCTTCTCTTTACAAACTTACAAAGGACAAGGAGGATGTTAGTAGATGATTTTGTTTAATCARCACCAATCACAGACTTACAAGCAGAATGCCAGAAAATCTTGACAATCAAGTGRTGTATAATCCCTCTGTGGAAGGAGTTGTCCTCAGCCTGATTGATTTTGAAATGAATGTTGTTGATTCTGACCTTGACAATGACAGATATTACTAGGGGCAGTATCACTAAAACAAAATGATTTCAACAAGCAGAGAAGACACAAGAACACAGTGAGAAAAATATTCAGTGCAACCAAAGAAGCATTTGCACTCCTATTCTTGTACAACAACTAGAAGTCTTGTAATAATTCTGGGAATGGAAATAATACACAAAAACAATTCACAGACAGTAGGATTGGCAGCAAGGAAGGCTGAAGCCTGCAGGGACCTACTATGCTGTTCATAAAGCTTGTTAAAGAGATAGTAACACAGAGAGCAGAAGACAATAATAGAATAATTGAGATGGCACTCATGGCTGAGTATCAGGATACCATGGGTGAAGACAAAGAGGAAAGAAAAAAAAACAAGAAGAAAACTGCAAGAAGATGAAAGGTTGTTCAATGTGACAGAAATGTGGGATAAGAGTGTCTTCAAAGACGCCAAAGAATTGGTGGGTGTGGCAGTATAATTAGTTACAATCTCAAGATATTATTAGTTGAGAAACAACAAACAAGCACTGGAGATAGAATAATAGAAAACATTGTACTACTGCATGTTTATTGAAAGTTAGAGAGAAGTTGTTGCATGTCGGGAAAAATTGGGGACTGAGAAAATATAAAAACAGAAGTGTTGTAACAGTATCATTTACAGATATAGGTTTTTTGTCATCAGGATAATGTTTGCAACAGCATGAGGGAATAGGATGAATTCGGTTCAATACTTTGAGAGTTCATTAGAAACTAATTGGTACAATGGTTGTCTTGTTGATGTAAGGAGAAAAAACTGATGAGGAAGATGCAGAAGAAAAACTGWAAGAACCCCCAAACTGAGGGTGAAATTTGTGCTGAGAAACATATGGTGTGAAAACATTTTCCAGTGAAAAGGGCCTTGAGTTTTGCATTAGAGCATCGGAAAATGCGGGTATGCGATTTTGTTTTTGTCCACGTGGAAAAACAAGAAGACACCATTACTAGTATTTTGGTTACTACTAGCTACTRMTAGTGTGACCATGCCTTGCCATTAACTCAAGCATGTGGATGAACTCATTTTTAGTTAGTAGAGGCCTATCCTTGCTGCTCTTTATTCCAAGAAGTCCTCTTGTCTCCTTTTTGATTACAGCTGCAATCAACGACAAACCATTGACTTGCTGAGACTTTGTTGTTGTAGGATTCTTGCCACTGCTGGCAACAACCAGAAGAACTTGTAGTACTAGTGGTAGTACTAGTACTAGTACTAGTACCACCAGTACTAATACTAGTAGTAGTACTAGTAGTAGCTAGTACTACTAGCTAGTACCTTGTACCTCCTCTGCAGCAGCACAATGATTGTACTAGTAGTGTTGTTCTTGTTTAGATTGGCGAAGATTTAATCAGCAGCTTCGCCATGGAGTTTGAAAACTATATTTGGACAGTCCCATCTCCGATCTTGTCAATGAWAGGTTAATAAAACATCATGTTTATCGGTYACCTTCCGGTCGTCGGCACGGAATTGGAATCAAAGAAGTATGGTCYAAAATACAGCCATGCRTGCGTCCCCAACGCCTCTTCCATATGCAATTGGCAGATAAATCTCTGAAGAACATGACCACCTGCCGCGATCAAACGCACTGTATGATATCGAAGAGTATGTCCTTGATGGCTTCGCCAGAGCTAGATGCAGGGGAGTTCGCTTCCCTTCTCAACTGAACGTAGATTTAASTAAGAAGATTACTAGAACCCGTAATCAGCGATTAGAGTTGGCGATAAATTCATCTTAAGCCTATTTTGTACTTACGTATACAACGGAAGAGTAGAGATAAAAGAACACCACGCATGTGTCCGGATGTAGAAAGAAGAACGATATCTGTCGTCTCCCTCCAACCAAAAAATGGCATTTATGTCTTTTGGTTCCCTTGCCGGTTGAGAAGCGCGAGCAAAAACCACTGGAAGATTTCAAGCTGACACAATCCGCGCCGTACCGTTCCCGGGTTTAGTTCGCATGCCATACGCMAGACGCTTTGTCCCATTTCTCCCTCCGAAGAGAGCTTGGTTTTGTCTCTTACGAGGTACGGTACAGCACGCGGTACGAATCTGTCTAAGGGCATCGTTCATTACAACACGAGTTCCTTTTCGCTCTACTGGCACAACGGTCTTCAAAACGCAATACGTTCAATCGAACCTTCTAGCAACCACCGCTAACTAGTGGACAAGCAACCATAGGAGAAAGATTGCACATCACTGCCATAGGATTCGATACGAAAAGAAACTTTTCCGTATTATTGTCAGGCGTGCCTCCTGTTTATCTATTAACTACGGTATATTGATAGAACTGTTTTGATCGTGATTCGATTCGTTTGCATTACTACCCGATTGTGCTCAGTATAATTGGTTGTTGCAAAAGAGTCAAAACGCGGGAACAAAACAGCTGAGATCTCATCATCTAATGGAATTACGTGCGGTCCGGGGCAAGTCTTCATTCAGTTAGTGAGGTGTATCTCGTGATTGCATCTATCCATTACCGAAAAAGGACTTKAAACTCGAGATCAATAATTTTTCATTTCCTTCTTTTGACACTCTGTCGAGACACAAATTCGCAACCGCGCAACATACCTGCAACAAGCATCATACAAATTGGTAAGTAGTGATCAAAACGGAAGCGAAGGACAAGTGCAGGAAAACTCAGAAATTAATCAATCGTGAGACTGGATGGAACAGGTCTGGCTCTGCTTGCGAAAGAAATTGGTTGGCARTCAACTAATCGATCGGAGATGAAAGCTGGAATCTACTGTTGCGTCACAGTAACAGTATCCTTTTGTCTTTGAATCTTTGCCTTCGGACTGATTCTTTTTTGTCTGTCCCGCTGGGATTGTTGGAGTTGGTTCAGAGAAGAAAACAATCTGGACTGAGGGATTTGTAAATATTCGTTCTGCTAACGTTTACATCGAACCTTCCCCTTTCCCCTGTTTCCCATATCATATTCCTCTTTCCAGATTCCTCATCTTCTTTTCTCGGACTGCAACCAAAACAAAAAATGCAAGGAGTTCCCACAAAGAATGTATCATCAGCAGGAAAGAAGAATAATCTGCAACAGCAGTCACAGCCATCCCCAACTTCTGTGAAGGATCTTACGATCGATGTCAACAGTCCTCCCATCGATAGAGGTCTGCCCTCTCCTRTAGACAGCAAATCCAGGCGAAATCGAAGACGAAGGAAACCGAAGGCTCGGGGAAATCAAGKTGAACCTGTTGCATCACCTGCTCGGAATCCCAACAAAACTCCCAACAGTACCAAGAACAAGAGCAGTCACAACAACTCTCCCAATAACAACAGCAATCATACGTCATCACCTTTTTGCTCACCAATTGTTTCGTGGAGGAGCAGCCGCCCTCGCAACGGCAATAATAACAGTCGACATAACACCAAGAATAACAAGCAATGGAACCATCCTTCTCCTCGCTTTAGCAAAAATGTAAGCAGTCCTGCGTGCCCGGCTTCTACGGGATTCCCGACGTCAAAGAAACAACACGATGCGCCCATGAAAAAACGTGATCTTTACTTCGCGTTGCATGTGGAACGGGTGGGGATTGCACCTCTACCAGAGAACGAAACACAGCAGCAGCAAAAGGCTGTGGCGAGAGTCACTCTCACCAATTGGGAAAATGAGATTGTTCTTGATACATTTGTGGCGATTCCGGTCCCTGTYACCGACTTTTACGAGACGGGCATCAGGCCTGAGCACGTGAAGCCGAACACTAAGAGCACCAATGCTATCGGAAGTGCAGTTGCCGAGGGCRTTGCGTCCGACAAAAATATTGCACCGGCACACTCCTCGCAGTGTTTTTCTGAGGTGCGTGCCAAAGTTGAACAGATGTTGCGTGGAAAGATTTTGATCGGTCACGAATTAGATGAGGGTCTGCAGGCTCTTGGCCTTGTGCATCCAACCACAGACATGCGAGATTGTTCGGTCTACTTTTCAGACGAGAGAAAGCCGGGACATTCTTCTCTAAAATCTCTGGAGGAGTTGAGCCGAAAAGAATTGAACCGATGGTCGGTCAAGGCTTCGAAGGCCAGAGTTGCGAAGGATATTTCTAACAAAGAGGCGATTATATTTTCCAGCAAGGATCATTCGATTAGCAAAACACCCGTCCTGGTCTGTGTCACAAGCATGRAYATTTAYAAGAAGCACCGAAATGCGTGGGAGACTTCACTGATTGTGCAAGCGAGAGAACGGGAGCGGCAACAGCAAGAGCATCTCCTCAAGATTTCTGAGCAGCGGCAGCAGGAACAAGAGCGAGCTCGCCGAGAAGCGCAGCAGCGATGTCAACAGCAATAYCGAGATGCTATTACTACAGTATCCATGAACTGCGAGACTGTCCGTACGGGACGAACCAAAACATTGACAAGGGTCACGATCGTGGATGGTCCTTCGAGGAACGTTGTTTTGGACGAATTTTGCCAGATGGTTTTTCCGGTTACGGACTTCACTGCCTTAGATGCCAAGATTCCTGGCATGCATGTTCCTCRCCATCAAACTGACAATTCATGTTCTTCGAAGCCGATTTCCGTCGTTMGGGCCCTTGTGGAACAATCTTTGCGAGGAAGACTTCTTGTGGGCTACAAAGTCGAAGAGGGTCTCAAGGCCCTTGGACTGACTCATCCCTGGGCACAAACTCGAGATATAGCCTATTATCCACCCTTTCTACGCAACGCATCAGTTGCTGATACSTCTATGGTTACTGTCCGACCTTTGGACGACCTTAGCGAGGATTTTTTGAGACAGCAGCTCCGACCGGTCGGTGACCGATGYCGTCCGCTAGACGTTTGCCGGACTACTCTATGCTTGTACGAAGCGGTTCGTGATCAGTGGGAGGGCCAGCAGCGAGATTCCTACCCGCATCACGTCCATCCACAACACTCACARAACCTTCAACCACAACAACCTGGAAGAATGATGRCCTGCTCACCTTCTGCATCCTCTGTCGGGATGTTGCACTCTCCGCACCMCAATCACTATAACCATCAGCCCAACCATTGTTACGGACAGCAGACGGATTTGACGTCTTACGGAGGACCCACGATGATTCTKTCTCCGACTCAACGGCAGCAATATCAACCACATKTGATGGAAGAACAGCAACAGCGTCCGGATATGCAGTCGCGATCGAATCCCTCCTCATGGTTTCCATGGGGGAAGAATCAACCTCTTCAAGAAAATCAAGTTGGTGGTGCATCACAGATGCTCTCTCCACAAGCCTACCAGGTCCTTCAAGAAGTCTCCGGAGTACAATATGCGTCATTTTCTCCGTCCAAAAAATCCTTTTTCCAGGATAACTCCTCCGTTGATTCTTACTATGGAAACTCTTCTTACATCGAAGGTACCAGCAGGTACGAAGAATCCACCGTTGGAGGAAGAAGTGGTTTAATTTCGGAAACAGTYGCGACCGAATCACTAATATCTTCATTGCCCGATGAATCATCGAGTGTTATAAGCAGTGATCAACCTCTGAGCACTGTGGGTTCACCTCGCTTGTGTTTAAAGAACGATTCACCCTCTTCATCTTCGTGGTTTCGTTTTGGATCAAAAAAGTCCAAGTATCCAACATCCAATGATGTGAAGACCAATTGTGAGACAATGGCGGCAGTTCAAGAAATGGAGGTCTTGAGTGATGATGGAATGCTTCCAACACCTACCACGCTGTTTTCTTCAAAAGRTTTGGAAAAAGATAATTCAAAGTCTCAACCTAAGACCGATAATGCAGAAACTATCACGGAAGGAACCGCCATGTCTCCTTCTTTGTTTTCACGAAAATTATTCGGATTCCGAAAGCCATCAATTTCCACTGGGGGCAAGGAGCGGTCGCACTCTCCTTCCAGCTGTTCATCAGAATCGACTATTGATGAGTTATCAATCGCAGCTGAGCCAGAGGGTTTTCCTGACACGGCGACGGAGGCATCCATTGAAATAACACTTTCCATTCCRAACTCGACAGAAACTGAAGGTGGTGATACATGTTCGCTCTTAGTTGAGAAGGCCGAATCCACGACGTTGGCGAGTCGACCTAGTAGTTCTTCTTGGTTTGGTTTCCGCCGTTCATCGAAGTCGTTGGGATCAAAATGCAAAAACTTTCCATCAGACTCGCTAACGAAGGTATCTGACCCTACAGTCATGCCTYATCATCYAGGTTTGCCATCGGCTCCTACCGAACGAACGGCAGCAATGGAAGATGACTGGTTGCAAGAAGTCATGACTGGTACAACCGACGACCTTAGTCCATGGTTGAACGAGAACCCGCAAGATAAGGSTGGTGAAGAAACAGGCAAGTCGTCCGCTACATCTCGAGGTCAAGCATCGTGGTTTGGTTTCAAACGTGGCAAGGTGACGAGCTTGAACAAAGTGACTCCGCTCACGAATGGATTTGATTCAATAGGGGGGATGGAAATGAATCAAGATCCACGAGGCGATAGTGCGTGGAGAAGCGATTCTCCAAAAGATGACTACTGGTCAGCAGCGACGAATACTCCGATGTCTGGTTCTGATGAAGAGACTCTGTCAACCATACTCATGAATGCGAACAGCGAGAATAATAATGACGACAGCGACATTTTTCGCCCCAGAGCGCGTTTGCCCACAGAGTCCACGGTTCCAAGCGTAGCAACTGAGGTTGCAYCGGAAGAGGAAAAGTSTGTCTCGGATGATTGCTACTCGAAAGAGCTTGATTTTGGAGCGGTTGAAAGCTTTAACTTTTTGAAGATTTAATTTCACCCGACCAAACATCACTCTGTTTGCTGCTGCTGCTACTGCTACAAAGTGTTATAAAGGGAATGAGTCTCGAGGATAGACAGAGAGTCGTCAAAATCAGTAAARTCTGCGCTTCCGCCGGACATAAATATGTGTTATAGATGGCTGTCGCTTTAATTTTAAAAAATAGAATACTTCATGCGAATGTGTTCTTGTATATTAACACAACTTCGCATACATGTGACATGGTTTGATCATATTTATTCAAACAAATTGAATAAAAATAGAAGGTAWRGCTTACAAACCTCTTTGAATAATGTYTAATTTCACCTTTGCACTGAAGGAGATAGATCGGCATAGCGACAATTTTAATGAATTCCGTTCCAATAACCGCTCATGACAAAACGCAATTGCATCCATTTGCTCGAAGCAAACAGATCAATTCCATACAGTGCCTATTTTCCTATTCTTCGATGCTCACAGATAAGGAAAAGAATTACTTTAGCAATACCAATAATCTACCCATCTACATGAATACTGAATGAAATCGGCCTCTCTATCATCGCCGTCTCCAAGAGGGTGGTAATTCTGTCACCAACCTAGTTGCCACGTCGACGTCCGCTGCTGCCTTTTCCTTCAAATCAGGAGAGAATCTGGTGAGCTTAACCCACAAGTCCACCGAAGCGGCTCGACTTAAATCTCGAATCAAATAGTTGTTCACATTGCCGCTTTCGCAGCATAGTTTGAAAGTGCTAATGATGAATTTTTCCTTTGTTTCYTGTTGAGATTCGGCTGACAGAAGATTCGAGCATTTGATCATATTGCCAAATGTAACGTGATCTGGGGTCGTCATTTCCCTCAGCTCTGTAAATACACGAACACTAGTTTGGAACGCCTCCTGATGAGAACTGTCATCAAGACGTATGCACTCAGAACAGGCGTTCAGGACGGCATTGTATGTAAAAATGTTGGGTTCAACCTCGGAATGACCTTCTTCCGCCAGAGAGCGCATCCGTTGCACCACCAGATATGCCTTTTTGTGCAATCCTGGTACCTTCGCCTTGGTAAGGGCCCGAATGATACTTGTGTAGACGCGTTCGTTCACACTCACCGCCCCGAGCTGACGACGCTTCTCCAACAACTGAAATAGTTCTTGTGTTTTCTGCCCACAATCTTCTTCTCCTAATCGAGCGTACGCCTCGATAATTTTCTCATAGCATAAACTACTGGGTTCCATGTCGTCATTTTCAATCATAAGATTAAGGTATTCTGTAGCACGTCTCGGATTATCGGACCGAGCGTGTCCATTCAAAAGAGATTTGTAGATGTCTTCCCAATCCCTCCCTGTCATGGAATGCCGTATTTCACCACTCTCGTCGTCCTCGGCTTCCTCCAAGGCACYTTGGTATTTCTTCAGAACCTCCTCGGCTTGGAATAGGTCACCAACTTTGATCCAAGATTCCATGAGAGCTTTGATAGACGGGACAGAGGGTCTGAACGAATCGTCTCCGTCGAGGTACATCTCGTTCATCTCGTCCAAAAGTTCCTCCGCTTTCTCTATCTCGTCCCTGAATTTGGAACTCGCGTATGCGTTGAAGACCGTTACATAKGTWATCGCATCGGGCTTGGCAGTGATTCTCCCGGCTGATGCGAGACTCTCCATTCGCCGCAACAGATCCCCGGCTCGCTTTGCAGCCCCCGTACGACCCTTTCTCGACAATCGCATCCAAGCTGCAATCACAATCGTCCAGGTGGCCACACTGGGTTCTAGGTGCTTGCCATCACCGTCCGAAAGGAATTGATTGAGTAAATTGTTCAGAATCGACTGAGCTTCAGAGATACTATCCCATTCATTGACTTGTGCATATGCATCTACTAGGGATGTAAAGGTCTTAGCATTCGGAGCGCAACCWGGTTTTCCTAGGGTGTCCATAAAAACGATCAAATTTTGGGCTCTTTCCGGGCCGTGCGATTCTCCTCGGGCTTTCGCATACGCGGTCACTACGGCATTGAAAACTTCCACACCTATGGGACTTTCGTAATCGTTGGGAGGGTATTCACGGACCGCATTYCTGAGTATATTTTCTGCCTTGCGCGCGGCACCTCGGTGGCGTGCCTTCGCTATCATCTGGATATATGGCCCATATACTTCGGGGTTTGGAATCAGTCCATAATCGGGAAGCCATTCCTCAACCACAATCGAGGCCTTTCTATCGACAGCGCGCTCGGWYGAGGACGAGAGGACGTCTAATAMGAGTTCGATTGATCGAAGTGTTGGATAAAGCGACTCGGCGGCCAGTTCATCATCATTATCTCGGAAAAAAGAAACAAGCTCTYGCTGATCAGACAAAAGTTTCCACATTCGGGTAGCTTTCATAGCRACAGAGTCGTCACTCTGGYCGTCCTCATAGATAGCGACCATGRCGTGATGAAAGTCATCGGCYATAGGTCGAAAAAGCTGTTCTCKTTCTTCTAGCTCTTCCATTGGAGTATCGGAATCGTGTTCATCATTGCCTTYTAGAAGCAAAACAGAGTCTCTCCATTCGTCTRTTAAGCGATTCAGAAGAGATTCTACGACATATGAGGGCTTCTTAGAGTCGGGATATTCTTCGCTGTCAATTGTTTCCAAGGGAAAATTTCGCAGGACTTCGTGAACAAGTTCGGCATCTCCGGTTTCCAATTCACCTAAGGGTGTTTCGCGGAAATGATCCACGAATTGCATTAGAAGTTCGTTGTCATAGTTCACTTCTTCCTTTTCCTCTTCATCTTCGTCTATTTCTTGATTGGCTTCAAGATGACCGCCATGTTCTAGATTATCCATCGCCTCTACTTCCACTTCGTTGTCACTATCTTCCTCTTCAAACTCGTCATCGTATTCCTCTTCAAGATAATCTAGAACTTCTTCTTGATCGTCCTCGTCTTTATTTTCTTCTTCTACCTCATCCTCAACTTCCTCATCGTAATCTTCGTCATATTCGTCGTCGAAGTCTTCATCATATTCCTCATCATTGTCCTCATTATCAAAATCGAAATCCTCTCCAAACATTTCTTTTAAATCCTCGATGTCGATACTCCCGTCCTCCACAGCTGCAAGAAGTTCCTCTTCACTCGGCATCACACTGGTGCTCATCAATAGTTTTGTACTCGTGCTGAACCGGTCGGTTATGAAAATGATCTTCGAGGCTGGACTCGCAACGGCGAGAGATCTGGGAGACAAGTCAGATCTCGATGTGGACTGGACGTGAAAGGAAGAGCATCCCCTAGGTCCATTTGCAACGGCAATGAATGCCATGAACGCAATCAGTAAACCTTGCGAGACTKTAATCGTCATCCTTTTTCTTGATCTAATCATCGACACCCTCGATGCAAAGGTGTATTCAGGTCTCCTTATTGCTAATTGCGAAGCCGTCCAGGAAGAAAGATGAGCGKCTGTGTAGCGATCGGTGATAGCGGACCATTTTTTCCATAGGTCGGTGTGAATCATCATGTTTTGCAGACACATCACAGAAATCAACAAACTGACGTTCGTTTGGATGAAAAAACCAAAAATACGAAAGAAAAGAATGGAATCATTCACGGAATCGATCTCCATTCATCACCCAAAAAATCCAATGACTGGCCTTGATGGGTCCCGTTTGATCAGTGACTCAATGTATCCAATGTGATCGGTGACTCGACCGACTAATGCGACCATCAAAGTTGCGAAGCTACGGTACAGTACGAACCCTACCCTACTTGGGTACGAGTACTGTACAATTTTAGGCCACATACAGAGAGATGATGACAAGATGTGGGTCGGTCGGGTGACACAAAATTTGTTCTGTGCGGTTGCGACCAAAAATTTTATTTTACGAACAATTTTCATAAAGTACCAGTACCAACGAAAGCTTAACCGTATCGTAGATGCCCATCTCAACATTTAAAGCAACCGTGACTATATGACTCTTTTTAAGATCGGTTTCAAGGCACCATTCGATCATTACATTGATCTAAAACCTGTGTTCGACGACAGAGACAAACGGCAGTGATAATTTCGAARGATACTTTGGAAACACAACGGACTCTTCCTATCATCAGTATATAGCATGCATGAACAACTTGAAGCCAAAAAAATGACAACRACCAGAAAAAAAAGATCGGGGCTAGCTATCGATACAGCATCCAGTATTTTTGACCCTCGCTGGAGGCCGTTGCGAGGAAGTTCGACTACAATTACTTTCGAAACAAAATACACCGCAGGATCATTTTTCTTACAGAAACAAAACGAAAACCACCACTATTCTATTTAAATATCAAAATTGTTTAGAAAACGCATTGAAATCAAAGCGAAGCAGAGCATGGGAAGGAAGTCCCCCACCGATGACGGGGCTAGCTCCGGTTCCGATTCAARGCGAAAGACGAAGTCGAAGAGCTCTACAAGTTGCTCCAAATCAAGCAAGACAAAATCTAAAGAAAAGGATTCCTCGAAATCGTTTCCATTGTCCATCCGAAAGCAACCCTACGGGGAAGCCTTTTGGATAGAGGTGGAACCATCTACCAGAATTTCTTCCTGCAAGAAAAAGATCCAGAAATTGCGGGGGATTCCGTCCAGCAACATTCGCTTGGCAATCGTATCGTCCTCCCCGGACGAATCATCATTCTGGGTGATTGACAACGACAAAAGTGGCTACGACAACGATGACTTTCAAGAACGAACCCTAAAATCCCTCGGCATCACCGGTGGCGACGACAGCCTCGGCAAGAGTCGAAACGAATCCGTATTTCTCGAGCTGGCCGCAATCTCGCTATATGTGCGAACACCTAGCGGGCAAATAATATTTTTAGAGGATTCTGTGGACGTGGAATGCACCGTGGACCACCTCGAGGAATTGATCGCTTCTCGATTGATATCGGATGGGGTTCAGGAATACACCGAGCACGTTGCAGAATCGAAACGCTTGATGCTTAGCTTCGATGGTTCTCCACTGAACAGGGGTCATGCCATTAGCAAGTTCTGTATCCAAGATCGAGGTGTCCTCGAGGTGGCCTTTGTCAATCGCGACTATGAGGACGGTGATTTTGTCCCGCCTATCGAAATCAAGGTGTCGAACGCTCATTCGGACGATGAAGCGCGGCCCACTCTGACAAAGAAGAAATCAAAGAGAGYGAAAAAGGCAAATGCAAACGAGGATGCACGGCCTACTTTGACTAAGAAAAAATCCAGGAGGATTGACTCTGACGATGAATCGCAGCCTACGATCCCTAAGAGGAAATCCAAGAAAGAGAGCGCGAAGAATAATTCAGATGAGGAAGAGCGACCAACGTTAGCCAAGAAGAAATCCAAGAGAGGAGGATCGAAAACCAAAGCGGACGAAGAAGAGCGACCATCATTGACCAAAAAGAAATCCAAGAGAGCGGGTAAGAAGTCCGATTCAGACGATGAAGCGCGGCCTGCACTAGCAAAGAAGAAATCTACAAGACAAGGTCGATCGAAGAAAAATAGAGACGAAGACAGCCTCGACAGTAAGAAGTTGAAGAAAAGGTCAAAATCTAGAAGAAGAACRAAAGATGATTCCAAGAGAAAGGCCGGAAAGGAGCAAGCGAAGGAARTCAAAACTATGGATGACGAACAGCTAGAATCTGATGCAGAGGCTGAATTTGAAGCCAAGATGAGGATGGCAGCAGAGATCAAAAGTCAAATCAGGGCCACAACAGAGGAAGACTGTGAAATTCTAGAAGCCAAGGMCGAGGCAAAATCTAATGCGGAGGCTGATGCTGCGATTTCACAGGCCGACGCAGAAGCCAAGGCAGCAGCTGAAGCCGAAGCCATAGCAGCAGCTGTTGCAAAGAGAAAGGAAACTGAAAGGAAAATCAGAGAAGCCGAGGCCAAGGCCAAAGTCGATGCCGAAGCTGCCGATGCAAAGAAAGCCAAGGCGGAGGAGGCTTCAAAAGCAAAGGCCGCAGCCAAGGCAAAAGAAAAGGCCGAGGAAAAACRAAGAAAGAAGGCAGCGGAGGAAGAAAAGAAACTGAAGAAGAAGAAAGCCGTAGCTGAACGGAGAAGAAGGGCAGCGGAGGAAGCCGAGGAAGAAAGGAGAAGAGTAGAAGCCGAGGCCAAAGACATTGCGGGAGATGCCGTTGACATTGCGGAAGAAGTGAAGRAGGAGGCAGGAAGCGATACCGATATTGCAAAACAAGCCGAGGAAGATGCAGCTGCAAAGGCAGCAGCTAAGGCTAGAGCACAAGCGAAGGCAAAAATTGCTGCCGCAATGAAAGCAGAAGAAGAGGCAGCTGCTAAAGCTGCAGCAGAGGCAAAGAAAAAAGCAGAAAGAGTGTGGGGAAGAGTAGAAGCCAAAGCAAAGGCCAAGGCCGAGGCTGCCGCTGCAAAGAAGGCGGAGATAAAAGCAGCTGCCAAAGCGAAGGCTGAAGCCGGCGCTGACGCTTTGAGAAAAATTGACTCGAGAACAGTTATTGCTCCTGCCGGAAAGCTCGGGCTAATGCTGGCCGATAAGATCGATTCCACGGGATGCGTCGTTTTAGGTGTCCAAGCTTCGAGTGCCATGAAGGACAAACTTTCTGTTGGCGATTGGATCGTAGCTATTGACGGCGAGAGTGTCACTCGAAAGACATATGATGACATCATCGACATTATATGCAACAAGGGCGAATATGACAGGGAATTCACAGTTGTCCCCAGCAACAGCCCTAGTGCGACATTTTACGAACTGGAATACGACGACGAAGAAGAAGAAAGCGATGAATGCGATGGCGAAAACACCCAGAGTGGAGTTGGCCTCGTGTGGGATTACATTTCCTCTATGCATTCCCGAGAGGGGTACTTCCCGTCTCTCCAATCRCTGCACATAGGACACGAAGATGGGTCTGATTCGTCAGCCCCTTCTACATCAAAGTCAAATAGTACAGCTGTGACCGAGAATTGCAGTGAAATGACATCTGATCGCTCTTTGGTAGAGGACAATGATATTGATACAAATAGCGACATTGATTCCCAGGTCGGTGACGACCTGGATTCATTTTATGTGATGACATCAGATCTCTCGCCGCTTTCAATCCAAATCGACTCCGCAAAAAGTGTTTCGGACGTTAAAGATCAAATCTCTAGGGTGTCTGGAATTCCTGTCAGCAATTTGCGCCTTGTCAGCCACGAAGACATCCCAATTGTGACGGATAGTTTCAATCCMTCCACTGGAGACATCCTGACAGCGAAACCCTCGACTGTGCATGTTGCACTGCCAGATCACTCGGAGATGCATCTCTCTGCCTTTCCAAATGCGCAAATCGGTGATGTGAAGGACTTCATCGAGGGAAAAACCCACTTGAATAGGTCAAAGCAAGTGATTTGCTTCCTCGAGACCGATTGTGAATTGGACGATGCAACCCTCATTGAGAATGATACCAGCCTTCAGTTGACAACTAGAAGTTATTTCCAAAAGCGTAAAATGGCTATTTGAAGAACTACTAATAATTGGGAACTCGAACAGATCCACACAAGGCGTTTTGCATCAGATGAAAGACATCTATTATCGTCGAAGACGATACTGCATGTATTGTTTGAAAGGAACTACACAATCCTCATGAGATTTAAGTGCTGCGTTTCGCTGTCTTGTAATTTACTTGGAAAAGCCATTTCTTCAACAGGACTTGGTTGGAATATAATATTTAAATACTATTTGTTTRTAATGTTAGCACATCATCTATCTCCAGCGTGAATTTGTTTTCGTAAAGTGGATTTTCGGCTGTATTCGAAATAACCCTTCTTGGTCACTGTATGAAATATCTTTCCCCCAAACACAYGGCATCGCTCTTCTACTTCTATTGATCGTCGCTGTTGTTGTTTTGTTCTTTCCACGGGGTTGGTTTGCTCTTTGTCTGTAGGAGATTGTGAGGGAACGATCATGCTATAAAATTGTTGTCGCTGAAGTTTTAAAAGATTGTTTTGTTGGCGAAGGAATGTCGGGTCATTTCTTTGATTTTCAGACGGAACTCTCACAGAAGCACTCGACGGTGCGATTGGAATAGGTACGGAATCACCGCTACTCTTCTTGCTCCCCGCGTTGTGATTGTTGGATTCTATTTTTTGATTGCGCTGTGACAGAGTGGTAGCACCAGAATCATCGAGTGTTTTGCCACTTCTGTTTCGTCTTTTGGTCCTTTTCGGTTGCATGGACAAACACATGAGTTTGTCTCCACGGAAGAATTTTGGATGGTAGTAAGAACCCGCTGTTTGCCGTTTTGCCGATGCAGGTACCCGCGTAAATCCGTAAATGTAGAGCTGGCGTTGAAAGGACTTGTATTTCGTTTGCTTGAAGTATGGTGGGATTACTTTTTCTACAAATTTCTCGAGGTTGTGGACCTTAAAGGCTTTCCCGTCGTCTACCCAAGAAACAGCATCTGTATCAACTCCATTTTTGTGGACTGCCTCGAGCATTTCAAATAATTTCCATGCAAAAGGGAGTTTTGAAGGTGGCAAGTTCGAGTCTTGAGCTAGGTAAGCCAGAGTCAGAGCGCAAACATCCATCTTTGCATTGCTCTGGGAGTCTTCAAATTCTGATTCCTTCTGAAGTTCGACTTTGATAGATGCCTCACCACAGCTTTGTGTGACCGGAGCATTATAAACCATTTCCTTTTGAGGCATTTGTTCTTACTAATTGATGTTGTTAGTTAACTACCGTTGCTTTATCTAAATTGATGGAAGGTTATGCCTTCGAGGTTGATGTCTTAAAAGTAGTGTCCTYTCAAGTCGATTAAAACCGCGCTACTAGGGTAGTAACGCTGAGTTCTTGCGTGCATCCTCGTGTTGCGAACCGACGACTAAACAACACATGRAGTTTGTTAAGAATTGTTCACTCMAAAAATTGCTCGGAACCTGGCTCCGCGAGCGATGAGACGTGATAAAAACATCCAGGGAAGTTATGTGTTCACACACTAGAACTGTATTGCCTGTAAGTTTGCGTAGCATAGTAAATTTGTCGATTCTAAACATACCTGAAACTCTCATAACCTGTAAAGGTAGAGAAACGCTAAGTTTTAGTTTTCAACTGAAAAGGCAGTTCGAATGATTTAAAATTACGTTATCTTGTCCGATCGTGCCAACTGTTGCTGCTGTCTGAAGTGACACTTTAGCAAATCGATGAGCACTTGAACCATCCGGAGAAATATCACTAGAGTACCTGGCAGTACGTTCGTGACGGTTGCTGTATTTATTAACCTAGCGGTACACGAATGAGGACAGAAGGAATTATTGCCCAAGCGAAAACTATTACTGTAAGAGAATTCAAACAATATTACGGGTAGAGTACTCGTACAAGTTAATTCGATATAAAATGCGTTAACCGTAAAAAGCCTACCGTACCGCACACTACTTGGAAAAAAGTAAATACTCAAACTGATGTGTAGTAGTCATATTATTGCTAAAACACTATCTTCACCATGGTGAGACTGATATCTTCACAACCAGAGCACCTACGAAAACAAGAAGGGTGCAGTTGTTTTGCTTCATAAGCTCATTTAATKGTGTTTRTATTGCTTTTAATCTCACTTAGCAACTACTAGTACATTGGTAAATAGGGCGAAATGACCCCCCAAATTTGTTAATTTTCAGCACTGCCTATGGAGACAGTTGTATCTTTAYAACCAAGCATTGAATCTTTATGGGAATTGGAGGAGTGAAAAGAACACTATTCAATTAGAATGCCCATGTGTTGGCTTTGTCTAAGGAGTTGTATTTGGTGCCAAATAAATTTTTGAAACAGGGCCTATGGAGCAAGAAGGAATTTTGGGAGAACAACAACATACCATGATGGCAGCTTGCAAAATGACTATGAGGAGAGCTCCCTTGAAAATTCTGAGGAGTCAAATTGATAGATGACTATCAGATTGAGGTTTACAGAACAAAGAACCACCATCAGGCGACTTTTGGTTGAAAAGTTATGTCCAAGAGACGGGAGGGGGGGGTTACTAGTAGTGACAACAAATGGTGCAATTGAAGTAACTACTAGCGATGTCGCAAACGACTATAAAGACAGCTCCCTGGCCAATTCTGAGTAGCTGAATCAACAAAGGACTATCAGATTGAGGGGCACAGAGCAAAGAGCGACCGTCAGGCAACTTTTGGTTTCCTTCTTTCATCACTTGTGGCTCTAGTACCAAATTGGAAGAAGTRTGGAGGAAGGGCCTCTCTGTACTAGGCAGTTGAGCCAGCAATCAAGGTGATTGCTAGTACACTAGGCTTGGTGACATGCCTTCCRATAGAGAGGATATTTGGGTCAACTAAACTTGATGATGKTYTTCCTCCCCTCCTACCATTCCCACCATCTAATGAGAGGCATGMCTCATCTAGATTGATAATCCTTGGCAACTGTTTTTCTGGAATCTCAATCCCATGCGTACCACCTGCAGTTGGAWATGCAAAGCCAAACTGAATCAAGTCCTTCTTTCAATTGTCAAACCATAACTTCAGGTTTGTTCTAGTGGTCCACCAAGCTCTTTGATCTTCCACTGGATTCAAAACCTTTGCCTGAAGATTCACCTTTGTCCTATTCAACACCAAATAGTAAAAACAGTTCCCTCCAGTTGCAGGAGAAGACATCAAACCAATTGTTGCATTCAGTCTTTGAACCAAAGGCAAAYRATCAACAGCAGAGGCCTCTCCATTTGCCTGTTTGATTTGCACAAATATTTCAAATGCATCAACAACCAAATTCATTGCATCCTCAGTGATATTCCCAGCAGGCCTTAGTAGGCCCTTCCTTGTGGGCTGCACACCAGATTGACCTTCTCTCACATATCTCAGAATGGTTCTGTGATTCAACAYRGTTYCAAACTCAGAATTGATGGCCTTAACAATGGTTGCAGCACTTCACTCATTGCCTTCTGGATCATCTTTTGCCTCCTTGTAAAGTGTTGTTGCTTTAATATGTGCTCTGGTCATGTTCTCATGCTTGATTCTTTTGTTTGAACAACTGATGTGTGCATTTTTTACATTGTTGTCTTTGGCTTTCACTTTTTTCTTGCTACCAGGAATGGTGCTGGGAGTCACATTGTTGCCAATGCAAGTGTTGGAAACAGCAGATGGAATGGAAGGAACAGCTTTGTTTTCAGCAGCCTTTTCAGAAGCTTCTTGTTCTCTCATTTTGGTTACAATTCTTCTTCAAACCCTCATTTGCATTGAGGCTAAATGAGCTTCAAACTTTTCAAAATCCACAGCCTTCATCGCTTGCACAACAGTAAGGACATGTGGATTAACAATGAGATCTGCAGCTAATTCCACCTTGCCTTTGAGTTCCTCATCAAGAGAAAGATGTGAGATCATGGTGGTGGTACTACTAGTAGTATGTGGAGCAATCTTGTTTTTTCCACCCAAACCAATTGGTGCTACTAGTGGAGGAGTGTTTTTCTTTTTGCTAGCAGTAGTAGTACATTTAGTACGACCACTAATTTTGCTGTGAGCAGGAGCCATGATTTTTGCTTTAAACAAAACAATAGAGGTATGTCAAATACTACTAGGAAACAACGAATTAGTAAACAATAGATACATTTGAAACACTTCAGTAATACAGGAATAACTACTACTGGAACCTCTAATAGGAGAGCCATGTAGATATTAAGAAAGATGGTAACTAAAAAAGCAGCTCAAATTGAATCATTTGTACTAGTACTACAAATCCTTTATTCGTATCACATGCGTACATACATATATTTAGTACCACAGTACTAATTCTACGCATGTACATATGTAGATTTAGTACCATGGTACTAATCCTACATATGTATGTATGTACACTTTTATGTACCAAGGGGAGGGGAATATTTTTGAGATTTTCGTTGAATCGTTAATCAATTCAGTTGTTGCTTTGAACTTGATCAAAACAGTGTTTTGTGAGGCCATTAATAGTGSTCAAGAACTGGATAAAATGAGATCCCCTTTGGCTCAGTTGTCATAGTGTTAAGAGGAGTGCTGTGTGTCATTACCACATGGTTAGGGGCCAAGGTGGAGCCAGTTCTCCATTAACACACAGTATGGCCAAAATTGGCCGGTTTACAAGGCCAGCTGCTGGTTAGAAAATAGGCCAGATCTTTATCAAAAAGACAACTTTAGACCACCAGACTAGGCCCCCAGACCAAGATGATACAATTACTTAAAGATCCATGTCATTGGGATGCTTAAGGATGCTCTGGCAGCATAGAACTAGTAGTCTGCCAAACTTACAGTACTAGTGGGTGGCCAAAATTCACGTGTTRATTCTAGCTGTAATTTTACTCCAAATTAACTTGCATGTCAGATTGTGGAGAAACTGTGCATAATGAAAATGAGGCATATCAAAAGTCATGGTTTAAAAATATTTTGCACTTACTTAAGAGGGGGAAAATGGAGAACTGGATGAAAAAGAGATGGCTTGC